CGTGCGTGCGTGCGTGCGTGCGTGCGTGCGTGCGTGCGTGCGTGCGTGCGTGCGTGCGTGCGTGCGTGCGTGCGTGCGTGCGTGCGTGTGTGTGTGTGTGTGTGTGTGTGTGTGTGTGTGCGTGGGTGTGTGTGTGTGTGTGTGAGTGTGATTGTGAGTGTGATTGTGAGTGTGATTGTGTGTGTGATTGTGTGTGTGATTGTGAGTGTGATTGTGAGTGTGATTGTGTGTGTGATTGTGTGTGTGATTGTGTGTGTGATTGTGTGTGTGATTGTGTGAGTGTGTGTGAGTGTGTGATTGTGTGTTTGTGTCTGTCATATTTCAAGTGTGAGTCTGAGACGTGCTGACCTTGAGGGTGCTATGCATGGGGCTATGCATCACCAAGGTCGAAGACATCTGTCCCAGGAGCAGCAGGCAACTGTTTCCTGGGAAACACGTCACACGAGGTCAGAGTCTGATAGGCGCTATAGTAGCTCTTTCACAGCTTCTTCTCATCGTGCGTGATGCATGGTCCGGCTGCATTTTTTTAGATTAGAGGGTCACTGGCACCTGTTCCAGAAGCCTTGATGCGCGTCGTTGCGTGGCAGGCCACGGGTCGTGCGGAAACAGCTGCCAAAGAAGCAGCAACTGCCGAGGCAGAGCCTGTTTAGGGTTTAGGGTTTAGGGTTTAATTAAGGTAAGAATTATGAGAGCCGGGGTCCGTGTTGGATTCGCGGTAAAACGGATGGCTGTATCCGAGCATAGATTTGAACAGCTGTAGCTTCAAGCTGCGCAGTGGCCGAAGCGATCGAGTAATCCCAAGGCTCACCCGCTCAACCACTCAACTAACCCCCCCCCAAAAAACACACCGAAACCCTACAGCCTAAAGCTCCTGTCCTGAAACCCTGAACGCCCCGTCCCCCCCCCCTCATATGGACACCTGAGACCCGTACTCTCTGACCCTGGTTGACATTGCTCATCATTGCTCCATTTGCTGAGGCCCACAGCGCTCCCCAGAGGCCTCCAGGGGTGCTTCAACATCCACCCCGGAGGTTGAAATTTGCTGTTGGTTTATTCTTCTTGCTGTATGGGGGGTTACGAATATCAGGGACCCCCAAGCCTAACATAGACCCCAAAAGAGTAGGATCCCCTTAGAATCAGGACCCCAATAAGGCACCCCTAAGTTCACCACCATATAGTGTGGAAGTGGAAGGGGGAGGGGGGGTGGTCAGTCGGGTGAGGTAGGGCTATGGGGGTAGGCAGGGTGTCCAGAAAAAGCAAGACATCGCTGGTTCTGACTCCGAAAGAAGGAGAAAGCTTGGGGTAAGAAAGACTCCGTTCCTGTTGAAAAGACACACACCCCAGACCATAAGCATTCCGAAGCTCTAAAGCCCCGAAACCGACAAACCCTAAATCCCCACTGCTTTCCATCATTGCAGCTGCAAAACGATCTCCCGCCACGTTTTGTAGGTGGTGTAGCTCAACTCACCTGAGACGAAGGTAGTTCACTCGTTCACCACACCAAAGAGGCCGAACGAATGTAGAGTTTTTAAATACCGTACGAGTTTCATTAGGATTTCAGTATAAAGGGCTAAGGATGTGGAGCATTATCAGGTTTATGCTTCTGTGGATGTGGACATATGCACATGTGCGAGCATTCGAGCTTCGAGTATACGCACACCTATGCAAGGTTAAACCACAAAAATCAACAACTGCCGGCGCCACTGCACTCAGTGCAGCAGCTTCGGTGAAAAGGAAGGAAGCATTTTATCAATCCAAGCGGTTTTGGGTACGATAGGGGGGATCCAAGGAGGGCGGTCGGGTGACGTAGGGCTTGGGGGAAGGCGTCTGGAAAAAGGTCTCGTCCATGTCAGTTTTTTTGTGGTTGTGGGGCGGATGCCGGGAGGGTGGAGGGACGGATGGGTTTAGGAAAGGAGAAAAAGGGGTGGGGGGTAGATAAATTAGGAAGAAGGGGTACAGGGAGTTAGGTCGTGTTCGGTTGAAGATTGAGGGTTTAGGGTTCCGGGCCAG